GCCCTGTGTTCAGCCCCTTGCTCGTCCCTTGCAAGCTGTGTGCCTTTAGATAAATCAGTTGCCCCTCAGTTTCTGCATCCATGAAATGGGGACAAAGAAGGCAACCAGTATTATAGGAGGGTGCAGGGAGACAATGTATAAGGAGAATTTAACATTCTGATCATGTGGACTTCCTGGGTGGCTCAGAGTCTGCATTTCCGGGCAAAGCAAGGACGCTCAGAAACGTTCTGGGCTATAATTTGTGTTACTGGCCATGTTTTATAGATCAGGGGACTGAGACGGGTAGGAATGTGAGTCATACGCCCAAGGGTGCCCTCCATCAGCTTCTTGCCGGGGCTCTGGGGCCCAGGACAGCACTGACTCTGACCAGGTGATATGCCCAGGGCTTCTCCTACACTCTTCACGTCAGGAAAGCTGTTTTTCATCTTAGGGAGGAAGAACGGAGGTCCAGACACAGGAAGCCATTTGCCCAAGACCGTACAGCGAGGAGGCAACACAGCGAGAAAGGAGCCAGGCTGCATCTGCCTTCATAGCGCTTCCCACCCTTGCCTCTGTGCAAATAGTTGGAGTGCACACAGCAGGCACTTAATAAAGACTGAAAGGGCAAGAAACCTATGTGGCCGAGGGAGCTGGCTCCCGGGAACAGGCTCTCTGGGAGCCGCTGTGCTGCTGGGAGTCAGCAAGTCATCTCCCCCTCCCGACTGGCCAGGCCAGCCTCCTCTCCTGGGGCAGAGAAAGCTGGGGGAGGGAGGCCCTGGCAGGTCTGGCCCAGAGCCCACCCACTGCAGGCCCCGGGCGAGGCTTCCGAGAGGGTTCAGCCTGCAGGAGGGCAGGCACTGGGACCTGCGGCAAGGAAGGGGGAAAGTACCCCCAGGCAGGCAGCCCCTCTGGGCCTGGCATCAGCGGCTCAGACCAGGCCTAGGACGCCCATTACTCATCGTTTTCCTGGCAGTTCTGGCCACCTACTCCTCCCAGCTAGGAGGCCAGTTCCTTAGATGGGAGACGGGAAGCTGCCAAGCCCCCGCCAACACAGAGACCTGCAGTGATCCTTGTTACACCAGCCATCCCACACCCCACACACCTGCCCACACCCCTCCATAATCCTCTGGCTCTCAGAGCACGATCCCTTGCCCTCCCTCCTGCCCTCTTCTCTCCGTCCTACTTCCAAGCAACTCCATTTCCCCTAAAGCCCAAATACATCCCGCCCGTCAACCCCATCTTAATTCCCCAAGAATCCAACAACCTTCTGACTCCCAAGCAGAACCCTCAGCTTCCTCCTGCCTTGACATGTCTTGCCCCACACCTCCGTTCTCCCCCATCTCCAGTTCTAACCGACCTCACTGAATCCTTACCACCCTCCTGGAGGGCCCGCAACAACTGGGAGCTAAGCCCATCTCCACTTCCATCACTAAAGGAGGAGAGGCTGAGACTCAGAGAGGTAGAGTAACTGGCTAGAGGTCACACAGCTACTGAGCCCCTGATCCAGAATTTGAAATTGTGGCCGCCCACCCAGAAAGTGCTCTGAACTCTCAGCGCCACAGTCTTCCCAGCAGCCCCAGCCAGCCTGGAGTGGGGATCATCTCTACTCCTCCAAGCCAAACACCCATATTCGGAGGGCAGCTCCCTCTGGCCTCCTTCACAAGAGCCACTTCTGAGTCATGCTTCAGAGCATTTTTCTGCTCAGCTTAAACTCCTGAAGTCTACGATAACACCCCTGAAGCCTGGCACTGCAATTTGTTGTAGGCTCTGGAAGAGTCCGTTAATTGGAGAGGGCATGGTTTGGGGGCCACCCCAGGCTGGAGGTCATTGGGGGTTAGCAGGCTGCAAGCAATGACTGGCCCCAGTCACTGAGAAGCCACAAACCCTGGAGTGCATAAGTATAAGCGGAAACTCAGACTAAGACCCCTAAAACCGCAAAGCAGGAAAGGGTCAGACAGGTTCACACCAAAGGTCACATAGCCAGTAAATGACAGAATAGGGACCCGGTGGGGAAAGAGACTCCAAGAAGGGAAGGCTCCTACCCAGAGTCACCGGTTAGGTGGCAGAATGCGGGCCTGAACTGAGGGTCAGGACCTATAACTCTGTCCACTGCTTTATAATGTTACCGACCTAACCCCAAATGAGAATACACCAATTTAAATTTGCAACTCCTCCCATTCATGATTCTCTTGCCTCGCTCTATTTCCATACCACTCATCACCTTCTAATACACTTTACATACTTAATGTTATTAGAAGCTGAAACAGGGGGCGCCTGGGTGGCTCAGTTGGTTGAGCGACTGCCTTCGGCTCGGGTCATGATCCTGGAGTCCCAGGATCGAGTCCCACATCGGGCTCCTGGCTCCGCGGGGAGTCTGCTTCTCCCTCTGACCTTCTCCTCGCTCATGCTCTCTCTCACTGTCTCTCTCTCTCTCTCTCTCAAATAAATAAATAAAATGTTTAAAAAAAAAAAAAAGAAGCTGAAACAGGGGCATCTGGGTGGCTCAGTTCCTTGAGCTCGAGACTCTGGATTTCAGCTCAGGTTATGACCTCAGGGTGGGGGGATCGAGCCCCGTGCTCAGCGGGGAGTCTGCTTATCCCTCTCCCTCTGCTCCCCCCAACCCCGCCACTCATGCTCTCATTTTCTCTCTCTTTCTCTCAAATAAATAAATAAAATTTAAAAAGAAAGAAAGAAAGAAAGTCCACTAGATCAAGGATCTTTAATCTCTTTTGCTCCCTGGCATACTTCAAGCACCTAGAACAGTGCCTGCTCCATATAGTAAAAGTTCAGTGAATATCTGAGTAAGTAAATTAGTCCAACAAACTTTTACTGAACGGGGCGCCTGGGTGGCTCAGTGGTTTAAGCCTCTGCCTTCGGCTCAGGTCATGATCCCAGGGTCCTGGGATCGAGCCCCGCGTCGGGCTCTCTGCTCAGTGGGGAGCCTGCTTCCTCCTCTCTCTCTGCCTGCCTCTCTGCCTACTTGTGATCTCTATCTGTCAAATAAATAAATAAAATCTTAAAAAAAAAAAAAAAAAACTTTTACTGAACACTTAACTAACCTTAACTAAGCCAGGCTGCAAACTGCAACTGCTTTGCTCTGTCCCAAGTCTACTTAGACATTAACGTTCACTGAACCCTGAAACAAGCCAGGCTCCAGGAAGGAGCTCGCAAACCAACCCAAATTCAAGCCAAATGCGTACATTTCCTTAAACAACCAAACTCTCCAAACTACAGCATGACACATCTCTGAATTGAAGAGAACCCACATTTCCCGGCGGCTCCCTCTGAGAAGCCGTTTCATCTAACCCAGCCCCAACCCCCAAAAAAGGCCCAGCGAGACTTGGAGAGTCTGCAGCCCCTTAGCCCGGCCACCCATTCACAGCTGCTACTTTTCCAACACTGCTTTTGCTAAACAGGTCTCAGTGAGACCAGCCACAACCCAAGGGGTGAGGAGCACTGGGCACTCTGGCCCCCCACTCATTTGTACCAGACGCTCTTCCCTGGGATGGCAGAGGAGAATAAGGGTCCAGAAATGTCCTTGGCCTTCTGGCCCTCTCCCTGGTGCTGTCCAGTACCTCCTAGTGGGAGGGTTGCTGGGTGGGCAAAATCAGAGTCACCTCTGGAAGGGTGACATCTGCAGACACGGACCCCTTGGGTTTCTGCAGCAATCCCGGGGAGCCTCCCCTTCAGCCAGCAGGGACAGGGCGTTCAGGGATTCCCAGGTGCATCTGGGGTTGGCTGAACCAGACTGCAGAAGGCAAGACTTGGAGATCTGAATATATGGCTTTTGACCAAAGCCAAAAAGCTGTTCCAAGAAGTCCTGAGTTCATTTGTCTCAGTCCAAGGGATAGAACAGCAATCTCAGGAGGGACCGTTCCAGAGAAAAGGAAGGTATTCCAGAAAGTGCTGCCCTGTGTCTGCATGGTCTTCCAGAAGAGGAAATCAACACAGTCTCCGTCAGCCCCTCCCCCCAGCCAATGGGCTGTAATACCCGCAGCTGCAGCAAATATTTACTGAGCTTCTCCTGTCTAGGTATCCTGCACAACCTGTAGCAGAGGCGGGCCTGCCACGGACCCCTGCCCCACCTTCCAGCTGTTTAACCTTAGGCTCCTATGGCCTCTGTGAACCAAAGTCTCCTCACTTGCAGAATGAACGATAACTCGATCTACTTCATAGGCTTGCAGTGGGAGTTCAAGGAGATAATGCTTAGCCCAGTGCCTGCCACATAGTAGCGCTTAATGAGAGGCTGTGCTTTCAAAGAAAAGGACCGGCCTATACAGAGAAAAGGAAAACTATGTAAGAGGTTCCTAAAAGTCCTATAAACCATCATTGATACATTTAGTTCTCTCCTAAGCGTTCGTTGCTGCCTGTTGGTTTTCAAATAAACTTAATCCTCACAGCATCCTCGGGGTGGAAAAGGCGGAAGGCAGAGCGACAGTCCTCGTGACAGAGGACGAAAAACAAGGCCCCCGAAGGTCCGGGGAGGCGGCCGGCAAGCACACAAGGAGGGGCCATCTCCCCTCAAACCCTCCGGAGCGGGTTCAAAACATCGGACGCGGGGACGAAGTGGCTGGAGGCCATCATTAGGGGGGCAGCCGGCGCCAGCACGTTAATTCACCACTGCTAGGAAGTGGTCATCTTTTATCCCTAAAGAAAAAAATGGCACGTCAGGGCCCGGACCCTGGGGGAATAAGTCAGCGCCCCGAGACGCCACACTCGTGCTTTCAACGCTGGGTCAGGCTCCGCAGAAATAAAAGAGATGGCGGTCCCTGTTCCGGAGAAGCAGCGAGCCCCCCCAGGGCTCCAAGTGGGGCATCAGGGCCCCAGAGGACACCCCTGAGCGCCGGCCGGAGGAGGGGAGAGGGCGGCGGCGGCCGGGGGTCCCGGGCTCCGCTCACCTGGCAGCGGCGTTCTGCGCACCTGGCAGAGCCAGGCCCCAGCCGGCCCGGAGCCAGGCTGGGGTAGCCCCTGCTCGGAGAGGCCCGGCCCCCCGAAGCAGCCGGCGGCGGCCCGGAACTCACCTGCCGTCGCAACCGCGCCGCCACCGCTTGTCAGTCAAGCGCACTCACGGCGGCACGGCGCAGGGCCGTGGGGCCCGCTGGTCGCGCCCCGCCTCCTCCCCCCCGGAAGCCCAATCAGGAGAGGGGGACGCCACGGATGGGGGCGGGGCCAGGCGGGCAGTGCGGGCCGGGGGCGGGGCCAGGCAAGAAGGGGGCGGGGCAGGGCGGGGTGTGCTCTGACGTCACTGCTGCGCGCCGGAAGTAATCCCGGCCACGGTATAGGGGCTCGGCGGCGGGACGGCGGGACTGCGGGACAGCGGGGCCGGCGCGACCATGCCGGTCACCGGCAAGAGTTTCCGCCGGCGCCGGGCAGACTCAGAGTCGGAGGAAGATGAGCAGGACTCAGAGGAGGTTCGGTGCGTTTGGGGTGGGACGTCCAAGGGGCAGGAAGAGAGAGCCGGCTGTGGGACTTATCACCCGCCAGGCTCCTCTTTGTGAGCCGAGATTGTTGTCCCTCTCTGCAGACAAAAACTGAGGCTCCTAGGGGATGACGCCGCCGCCTCAAGGCCGCGCAGTTGGGAGAGGTGTCCCCACGATGCACGGTGGATTTGACACCCAGTGGGTCTAAGCGCAAGGTCGCCTTCCGGACCATTGTGCTGGCGGCTTAGCGTCTAGGCAGGGGTGCCAATAGAGGCTGCCTTTTGAGTCTGAGTTCCGTGGAGGGTCTCTCAGTCTGTGCGTTGCCTTTTTTCAGATTAAAACTAGAAGAGACCCGCGAGGTGCAGAACTTGAGGAAGAGGCCCAACGGGGTGAGGTGGGTATCGCGCGGGGGGACCGGGAGGAGGAGGAGGTGGAGATGACAGAGACACGCCCCCGCCTCAGTCGCCATCACAACTCTCAGGCATAGCTCCTTCTCTTAACACTCTGTACACCTTCCACTGCCCTCAAAGGAGTCCACCCCTCTTTATTTTATTTTTTATTTATTCCACCGTTGTTTAAAGACGTTTAACCAGGAGATGGCCTGAGCTGTGTGGTCTTGAGTTTTACCCCAGAGGGGCAGAAACGAGTGATTAACTCCTATTTTTATTGCCCCCGATTGTGAAATGCCCGTTGGTTGTTAAGAGTTTGGAAAATTTAGAGAAGTGTAATCAAGAAAATAAGCAGCACTCATAATTCTCCCATCCACAGGTAACCAGTGTTAACACTTAATGTTCTGGCTGATCTGTTTTCTTTCTCTTGTAAAGGTTGTGAGTACTTCTATGCTGTTTTTCAACTCACTTTCACATTTCGGGCATTATGTGGTTTATTTTTCCAAAATCCTTTTTAGTGGCTGCATATTAGCCCACCACGTACATGTGCCGTAGTTTGTCAACTAATCTCCTACTTAGGGGTCATTTGTAGGGGACAGTAGGTCATTTGTAAATGTTCACCAAACAGGAGTGCAATAGGTACTTTTTTCTACATTCGTCTTCAGCTTCGTGTTCCCCAAAGGCAAAATCTTTTTTTTTTTTTTTAAAGATTGTATTTACTTATTTGACAGACAGTAGGCAAGTAGGCAGAGAGGCAGGCAGAGAGAGAGAGGAGGAAGCAGGCTCCCCGCTGAGCAGAGAGCCTGATATGGGGCTCGATCCCAGGACTCTGGGATCATGACCTGAGCCAAAGGCAGAGGCTTTAACCCACTGAGCCACCCAGGCGCCTCCCCAAAGGCAAAATCTTAATGAGATTGCCAAGCCCAGATAATATCAATGGCCTTGAAGGAAAGTATACAGCTTCACTGCACCCCCCCATCCACCATCTAAAGTGCTTTGCTGAACTCTGTTTTATGCTTGTAGGCTTTTCCAATTGTCTTTGGTGCCCACTCCTCAGATCTTGCCTTTGCTCTAATGTTGCAACATACAAACTTTCTAAGTGTATTTCCTCATATCTCAGTTATGCAATTTCTATCTCTATCTCTCACTCACTCACTCTTCCTCTCTGTCACTCTTCCTTTTTGTTTTTGCTCAGTGCTGTGGCCCTGCTGGTGGGAGAAAAGGTACAAGAAGAGACCACCCTAGTGGTGAGTTGTGGGGGCCTCCCTGGGTAATGGGGTGCTGTCGCTACTCTCCAGTGGGTGACTGTGTTAAAACAAAAAAAAAAGTCCATTCCCAATAATATAGATGCTTCCTCTCAGCTGTGTTTTCTGCTCATTTGACTTTCTGCAGGATGATCCCTTTCAGATGAAGACAGGCGGTATGGTGGACATGAAGAAACTGAAGGAAAGAGGCAAAGATAAGTAAGTGTAGACCTCACGGAGACACACACTGACCTGTAACCCCTGCCTGGGTCTATGTGACCCCAGATAGTGGGGGCCTGTAACAGCAGCTTTAGTGGGACATCCTGAAGTATCCTTCGTGCTTTATAAAAAGTAGCTAGCTTAAAACCAAGTGAAAGCAAAACTCTTTCTTTAAATTTTATTTCTTTACTTGAGAGAGAGAGAAAGTGTACGCCCACAAACACGCTGGGGGAAGGGTGGAGGGAGAGGGAGAGAGAGGATCTCAAGCGGATTCCCTTCTAAGCATGGAGCCCAGTGTGGGGCTGGAACCCACGACCCTGAGATCATGACCTGAGCTGGAATCAAGAGTCAGATGCTCATGGTGCCTGGGTGGCTGCATCAGTGAAGCGGCTGCCTTCAGCTCGGGTAATAATCCCAGTGTCCTGGGATCCAGTCCCGCATCAGGCTCCCCGCTCAGCGGGGAGTCTGCCTCTCCCTTTGCCCCTCCCCCTGCTCTCTCTCTCTCTCTCAAATCTTTAAAAAAAAGAAAAAGATGTTCAATCGACTGAGCCACCCAAGCACCCCAAAAGCAAAAACGCTTGAAAAGTTAGTTTAGTGCGCTGTGGCCATTCTCCTTTCATAAAGGTGAATTGTTTAGTGTGTTTCAAACCTATGTGGAAATTTTGTTTTTCTTTTTTTTTTTTTAAGATTTTATTTATTTGACAGACGGAGATCACAAGCAGGCAGAGAAGCAGGCAGAGAGAGAGGAGGAAGCAGGCTCCCCACTGAGCAGAGAGCCCGATGCGGGGCTCGATCCCAGGACCCTGGGATCATGACCCAAGCTGAAGGCAGAGGCTTTAACCCACTGAGCCACTCAGGCACCCCTTCCTTTTTTTTTTTTTTTTTTAAACGTTTTTCTTTCTTAAGAAACGCAAAAATGCAATTATAAAAATAATAGAAAAGCAAGAAATAAAAGTATCTACTCATTCCCCAGAGAAATCTCCAGAGGACAAGTCTGCTTGCTTCTATTTCTTCTATTTCCATATCACATATATATTTTTTCCCAACCATAAGCGGGACGTACTGTCTGTATGTGTTTTATTTGTATAATATCGATCGCAGCCTCACTGAGTTGTAACTTTAAGACTTTGCTTCATTGCTTCTCCCCTTAGGATCAGTGAGGAGGAAGATCTCCACCTGGGAACATCATTTTCTGCAGAAACCAACCGAAGGGACGAGGATGCTGACATGTAGGTATCAGTCTGAGTATTAGCAATTCGGAGTTGGCTGCAACTAGAGTGTAAGATATTTAGTTTCAGATGACATTTCTAGAATTATCCAAAGACAGCAGGGAGCCCGATGCAGGGCTTGATCCCAGGACCCTGAGATCATGACTTGAGCTGAAGGCAGATGCTTAACCGACGAAGCCACCCAGGCGCCCCAGGAACGACTAATTTTCAAGACAAGTTTTGTGAGTCTCCTGCCTCTTCCTGAGGTCTGTGACTTTCTCGTTTCAGGATGAAGTACATTGAGACAGAGCTGAAGAAGAGGAAGGGGATTGTGGAACACGAGGAACAGAAAGTCAAGCCGAAGAATGCAGAGGACTGTCTTTACGAACTTCCAGAAAACATCCGCGTTTCCTCAGCAAAGAAGACCGAAGAGATGCTTTCCAACCAGATGCTCAGTGGCATCCCCGAGGTGGACCTTGGCATCGAGTATGTTTCAGACCCCTGGTCTGGTCCCTCTCCTGCCCCAGCCCCCCGAAGAGCACTCCGGTTTCCAGTGAAGGGGACTGTTTCTTGCCTGTCTCCTTGGAAAGCCACAAATAATAACTCTATTTTCTCTGGCAAGCTGAGATACGTGTGCCCACAGTGTCTCTGAAGAATTTGGTCAGTGTTGTTAGACTTAAGGGAAAGTCTCCTGAACGCAAAAGTGAGATGTTTTGTTTATTGAGATATAATTAACACGTAACATTATATTGGTTTCAGGTACACAGCATAGTGATTCGATATTTGTATACAGGTGTTTATTTTTATTTAATCTCTGTTCACAGTCCTTTAGCTGTTCTAATCAGACCTTTATCTTCCTCTCTTTTATTCTAGCAGGAGCAATGTTAAAGGTTTACCCACCCCATGATCCTCCTTTTTATTTTTTGCAAAACATCTGTTCTACCATGGGATCGTCATGGAAGAAATGCAATGGTCAGAATCCTCTTTGGGTGTAGTAGGAAGTGGGGAGACTTCTGGGTTCTCACCTCTTTTCCGGCCTTACTAGCTCTGAGCCCTAGACAATTCTTTTTTCTTCTCTGAGGCTTAGTTTCCTCTTGATCAGAAGAGGACAGTACATCCTGCATCTCCGACAGCTTTGAGAACACATGAGAACACGTGTGTAGGAGAATGGTAGGTCAGCTGTAGAGCACTGTGCTCCAAGAGCGATCTCCTTACACAGTGGTGGCTTCCAGTCCGACCGTGAATTGTGTCTGAGGACCAGAGGTGAGAAGGTCTAATACACAGCACAGCCCCTTTCTCCCCACAGTGCTAAAATAAAAAACATCATTTCCACGGAGGATGCCAAGGCCCGTCTGCTGGCAGAGCAGCAGAACAAGAAGAAAGACAGCGAGACATCTTTCGTGCCCACAAACATGGCCGTGAATTACGTGCAGCACAACCGATGTAAGCTTTTCTGGGGAAGTAGCCCTGCCCCACTGGGGAGATCCCCTGGCTCCCGTATTTTGTCTCAAGTGTCCCCTGGGCTCTTTTTGATCCAGTTTATCACGAGGAGCTCAATGCCCCCATACGGAGAA